TTGATTGATTGATTGATTGGTTGATTGATTGGTTGATTGATTGATTGATTGATTGGTTGATTGATTGGTTGATTGATTGATTGATTGATTGGTTGATTGATTGGTTGATTGATTGATTGATTGATTGGTTGATTGATTGATTGATTGATTGATTGGTTGATTGATTGATTGATTGGTTGATTGATTGATTGGTTGGTTGATTGATTGATTGATTGGTTGATTGATTGATTGGTTGATTGATTGATTGGTTGATTGGTTGATTGATTGATTGATTGATTGATTGGTTGATTGATTGGTTGATTGATTGATTGATTGATTGATTGATAGATTGATTGATTGATTGGTGGATGGAGTTAGGGATGGATAGATTGGCTGGCTGTTTGGTTGATTGATTAAATGATTGCTTGCTTGATCAACTGATGAATGAATCAACTGAAATTTAATTGATTTGTTGTTTGATACATTAAATATTTTATTTCAATCTCAGTGATACACTTTTCATTTAGATCCAGTTTTAACACTTTTGTGGGTCATCTAAAGGTACTATCAAATGCACCATTATTATTATTACCAACTTAAAAACCAAAAGCATTCAAACCATTTTATGTTAGTTATTACATTTCAAGATATCGAAGGACCAATGTCCAAATCATTAGTACGTTTCCTATCTTTCCACATGTTTATTTATCAAAGAATATATAAAACTGTTTCAATAGAAACACAGACACAASTCAATCGTTTGACACTAATTGTTTTTTCTGTGGTTGTATTTAGGATGAAACCTGTTTAGGTGTTCTGATATCCTGCCTTGCCAGGTTATTTAATTTATCTAAGGTAAGTGGTAAGTCCTATTCCCTTCTCCCTCTGTTCCTGTCCCTCTCTTCTTCCCATGTCCTTGAATCCTTCCAACCTAACCCCCTCTCTCTCCTCACTTCTGTATTGTCTTATCCGTTTTCTTCTTGCCTCCCTCGTCTTTCTCCTTATTCCCTTTCTTCTTGTCCCCACTCCATTCTTCTTTCTTCCTTCCCTTCTTCCATTCTCTATCTGTTTACCTTTTCTTTCCTCCTCCTTTTCCTCCTCGCTTTCTCGTTTTCATTCTTCTCTTTCTTATTTCACATTCTCTTCCATTCATTCTTTTTCACTTGCCCAGACTTTTCTCCCTTCCTTCTAGCTTTATCTTTCTCTTCCTTTCTCTCGTATTCGCTTCATGCTTCCCTCTCTTCTCTCATTCTCTTTCTTTCCTCTGTTATATACTCCATTCTTGTTTTCATCTTTTCCGTTTGATTGGATATTCTCAGGTTCTTCCATCCAGTATAAATCTGTTGTTGTTGTTTTAATTAAGGATGGGCAGGAGAATTTCAGGGAAATCTTCAGTTCGTATGGACATTTATGGCCAACATCTATCACCAAGTAAGATTCTAGTCTAAATTTAATTTTTTTCRTTTCGGGCACAGTCCTAATTGTTATGTCTCATGTTGTTTCTTGTTTTCTTTCAGTCGTMATTCTGTGAATTTTGAACAGATCGAAGCAGCCATGATGCAYATCACACAACACGGTGTCAAGCTACATCCATATAACGTCACATGGATACAAACACTAGCAGAYATTTTTCTTAGTAAGTRCAATGYATRCAATTGACWCTCATTTGYCTTGTGAAGAGGGCTRTRCTTTCATACGTTTACCATGTCTAATACAGGGCGTCAATATTTATCTAATAGACTATCAACTCAAAATAAAAGTAAAAAAACAGCGTCATATTGACATCTATCTTACGGGTACACTTTCTTGGATACGGTCTATATTTTACAAATTTTCACTCAATTTTGTCCCCCCGGGGACTTTGTACTCAACTATTCCGTTGTCTTYCTATAAACAGACTCCAAAAACTTCCCTTCAGCCTTCAAGMGATATCTAGAGTCAGGGGCTTGTTCATCCTTAATGTTTGCACAACCAGTACCAGTTACGGTGTGGGATTCTCAGGTAACGATGCCTACAAAATACGTATGTTTACCTTGAACTACCATGTGTGGTACCAAATGTAGGTTTGATTATAAAAATCAATTTGTTCGATGGTTGTTCTGTGACTTATTTCCTTCTAAGAGCGTGCGTGAACTGATGAAATACCTTAGTACACTCTTGAATCAAACAGAGTGATGTATAAAGGATAAAATCCAAATGAATAATAGAAGTTAGAGTTAAACAAGTCTCATATGCTTATTTTTTTCCAAAAAGGTTTTTAGAAAGATGGTAGATTGCTGCATGCAGCTGAAGGCTCACATTCAGGTACAGTTGTATAAATATCCGTAATACATTTCATATTATATGGTAGAATTCATTGATAACTYTTCCCATTCTATGGATTCAATCCTGATTAAAAAAAGAAACGTCTATTTGAAACATTTGACTGTTTCAGAAAAGGACAGCTTTGCACCCGTTCTGTGAAAAGATTGTGTAACATTWCCATAAATATATTCATTCTATGTATTCAATCCTGATTAAAAACAGGAACGTCTTACTTAAACATTTCGCTGTTTCAAAAAGGACTAGTTTTGCAACAGTTTTGTGAAAAGATTGTCAATGAATAGTAACGATCGATGAATAGTAACGACGTAACGTTTTTAGGGTGCGTTACTTTGTCAATGCGTGGAGCCTAAGGATTATGTGACGGCATTCAAGGCTATTCAACTAACAGCTCTTTCCAGGTCAGTGCATTAGTTGGTTGTCCGTTGGTT